CTTAAAAGCTACTTGAGAAATTAACATGTTTTCTTTTTAACAGAATCACCCTGCTGCTGAACCTTCTAAGGACGGTACAATTGGAAAAAATGCACAAGGTGCCAATGGAATCAATGAGGGCATGGAAAAGGAGAATTGTCAAGAGAAAGAAGGTAATGAAGATAATGGACTTGGTGTTAGATTTGAACTTGATGATTTGGATCCATCTGTTGCACAAGATGCAGAAGAACAATCAGTAAAAGAGTAGAAGTTGCTTTGTCATCAAATGAAATGAAGAGAGGTGAAGATGCACCTATTGTTGCACTAGATGCACGAGAACCAGCTAGCAAAAGAGGTGAAGAAGCACCTACTATTGCACATGATGCACGAGAACCAGCAAGCAAAAGAGGTGAAGATGTACCTACTGCTGAATGCATTGCAGTTAAGTTGTTAGGCAATGATAAAATAAAGGAGGAAAGTAAAGAGTTAAGTAAGAGTAATGCATTTGATGTGATGATTCTAGAGAAATCTTCAGAGTTCGACAGCGCCTTGAGTAAAATTGAGGGGTTGACAGAAAATGAGAGGGATACTGCTCTCAGTAAGCTTCCAGATCACCCTGGACAGATGATGGTCTTCTTCAGCCTTCCACCAGATCGAAGACTTGCATGGGTGAAGAGATTCCTAAAGCATCATTGAGTTATCTTCGGACATTCATAGAATATATTACCTATGATCCCAGGTATAACTAAGTTTATAATGTTTTAATTTAAGTTTTACTTTGCTTTCATATTAATACGCCTATTAATTATATATAGAACAAATTTAATTAGCTTGAAATTTTAGTATCAAGTTTTAGTAAAGCTTTGTTTAACCATACTTTACACAAACTCTTTTCACACAGCACCCAAATAAAAATTGTAAATTTATAACTCTTAATTAATGTTGATTAATTTTTTTTTATTTTCTTTTAGTAATGGCAAATGAAGCCTGTATTGTGGATTTTTCTATTATAATTTCTTGTTCTTTTGCTAAGCATAATATTGATTATTATTTGGAAAAATTCCTAAAAAAGGGTGGTTTCAAGAAATTAATTCTAATTTAGTTTAGAAAAATGATCAGTATATACTTCAATTCAATACATTTATCAATATCTACCAGTTCAACAATTAAAATTTGCAATTTTAAGTTTTTTTTTTCACTTTTAATTTAAATTCAAAAATCATAATTTTTTAATGATTATATTGTCGAATATGTTAAACTGAGATATTGGTGTCCTTTAAGGTATTTTTTTTTTCTTTTTTAGATATTATTGTTTCATCTGTAGTTATATTATGGTATTAGTTTGTGATATTTTTTTACATTTTTCTATAAATTAAAATAAGGAACAATTGCGAATTGGCCTTCAAGCTCAGTGGTTCATTCCCAAACCCTAAATGTTTAGGTTTAGTTGGTTAGAAACAACTTGAAAAATAAATCCCTGTCCCTCATGATTCCCTCATGTTCAAAAAAAAAAAAAAAAAAAAAAAAAAGAACAATTG